GTAACATCGTACCAACTACCAGTAATGTTGCAGAAATTTAACCTTCTGTCTAGTTTACAGTCATTGGAAAAATCATCCACAGGTAATCTTAAACCAACTGGAATAACACAACAATAGTGCAAGATCTCTTTTCCAAAATTAATAAGCAGTCCCTTTAGACTGAATTGAACCTAAAACCATCAATTATTGTAGCTCCCCTCCTCTCTTGCAAGGGTCATTATAGCAGTGAACTGTAACTAACAATACGTGACGTCAGAGCCCACAAATTTGTAAATATTGTAATGTATTGTTATGTATTGAGGAATATTGAAGCATACAGGGGGTCCCAAAAAACATGGGAATTAATTGACGACTTCAAAATGTTATCAAGTTTTTAGCAGGTTTCAGCAGGCTTTTTTCTCTAAATGTAAAAATTTCCAATTATAGCAGATCACAATTTGGAAATTCCAATAATAAGAGTTTTCGATTTGTTTCTGTGTAATTCAAATTTTATTCACGAAAAAAGACTTTCTAGCACAAAGACGATCTAAAAGTCGTCGTCACTTAATTATCATGTTTATTGGAAAACCCTGCACATTGGTTCCAACCAATTACACATTTTTTAAGAGAATCGTATTTCTTTTTGGAAAAACCGATAATAAACTTGTTGTTGTCCGCTTAAGTCTTACAAGGCAAATAAAAATTTTGTTTTACTTTCACGAAATTAGATAAATGTACATATAGGAGGGATCCCTGAAGACTCCCCCCCCCCCTCGGGTGAGGGAATAGATATGAAAAAGAATATATTATGCCGTATACTACAGGAGCTTAAAAAAACACGTAAAATTAACTATAACGAAGTACATCCTACGTCTTGTCTGTATTGTAATATTTTCAGTCATATTTTTATCTCTAATTCAAAATTCGTCAAAAATTGATATATTAAAAATATAAAGAATAGTTTAAAAATAAAATAAAAGATCACTGACTTTCAACCAAGACCTCTAATTTACCGTGACATAGAATCCCCTATTTCTAGTAATTTAGATTTTAGATTTAAGTTTTATTGAACACAGTTTCTATCCAAACACACGCAGTAAAATCTTTAATAGAATTAGTTTGGGGAACAAATACCATGGTTTCACCAAATATACAGAGGTACAAACAAAAATACAAACCATAGCTCTAAAATCCAGCGATTATTTGAAACAAACGTTATATCCTCACATATTCATAAATATTTAAAGCTATTCATTTTTCTAGATAGTCAAAGTTTAAAACAGCCAAGGTTGACATCATCAGGATGCAAAGATATAGGGATGTGACGATTAGAGTTTGCAGCGAGAAAATAGTTAAGAAATAAAATGAAATCAACCAATATTTCTTTTTTGGAATTTTTTTATGGTTTCCCTGTGAGATTATTGTTCCCCGGTTTACTACCATTATGAAAAAGTTTTAAAACCAGGATATATCTTTTAGAATAATAATAGTAGTATTGTAATAACTTATATTTTCCTTAAAATACACTGCAAAAAGTGCATTTAGATTTTACCTCTCTAAATATCTATTATCCCGATCGCTGGATTTCGATATCCAATTCGGGCACTTTTGAATTTGAAACAAAGTCTTCATGATCTTTTGATCAATGGTTGAAGGCAAAATTTACGGACTTCTGATTGGCTGTTATCTCAAGAATTGATCTCGATATCCACAATATTTGATTTCCCAGCTCACTTTCTATCTTTAACCAATCAGAAGCGAACTGCAAAATATCCCAGCCAATGAGGAAACACCAGTCTTAGAAAATTCTCCTGGATTGTGTTTACGTTTGTTTATTCAATTTCGAGATGTCTAACACAACGATATGACACTGACATAGGGAAAATATTGACCAATATTTAAAAAAAGGTTAGTCTAGACCCGTTTTTATTAAAGATTTCATTAAAAATTCTTGGAATTTTTCACTAAATGTCGAATTGGCAGTTTTAATAGAAATAATTCTTGGAATGTTTTACTAAAAGGTGAATTGACACTCCTAATAGAAATGGTTCTTGGAATATTTTACTAATTGTCAAATTGACACTCCTAATAGAAATATCTCTTGAAATATTTCAGAAAAATTCGAATTAACACTTCTTATAGTTTTAGAAATAATTCTTGGAATGTTTCACTAAATGTTAGATTAACATTTCTAATAGAAATAATTCTTGGAGTTTTTCACTATTGACAAATTGACACTTCAATCCAAATATTAATCTTCACGAAATCCAAATTTTATTCTTCCCTCAATCCATACCGGGATCATCTTCAAATCCAAACTTAACTAAAATGATCAAGAGAAATAATTTGGTGGTATAAACTTAATTAACGAAATTCAACTATTTTTCACTTTTTATAAAATCTGGACCCAGATAGATAAAATTATCAAAGTTTAAAATTGCCAAAAGTGTACAGCATTAGGTTGCAAAGATATAATTGGATAAAATTTTATGCGAGTGTTCAGTCCCTTTTTAAATTTTTTTTACTTGAATTGAATTTGAAAAGACAATTTGGGACTCAGTTAGCAACTTAACTACCTAGTTTTGCATTCTTTACTGAAGTGGTGGGGTTAATGATATGGGTGGTCCTTAAAGGGATTGCAGACGTATTTTAAAGTCACCTGACATTAAAGATTAACATCGAAAAAATTTAATTTTGTTTGCTATAGGAAATATAAATTTATCTCATTTATCAATTATCATTTACACACAAGTAGATATAAGAAAAGAAAATTTATTTGGTTACATATTATAAATAAAATTTTTTTTCTTTATTTAAGGAAATATGATTGAAAACATATCAGATTTCAATCTTTCGTGCAATTTAACTTTAGTTTGACGTGATTCTGTAATTGGAAGTTTGCTTGAAATAACGCCAACAGTCCCTTTAATAACCCATCCAAACATGTTCTAGTCCAACTGGTTTCATGTTTGCCTCTTTACTTTACAGGTATAGTTAACATAATTTTAATCAATCCTTTGTAAAGCTCGTTAAAAATAAATTTATTGATTTAAAAACTTGTCATAATTTTTGTGTTGTCAAATGTTTCAGAAATCTAAATCTTTTTGAACTAAGTGAAGGCAAGCCTTGCTTATCTTTAATTAATGGGGGGGGGGGGAGGGGCAGTATTAGACATTTTTATGTAAAAGAATGAAAGAATTTTCAATTTTCATTTTTTTTATTTGACATTTCCAATATTGAAGTTCTATTCAGCTTTGAATTGAAGAATACAATCACAAAATTGTTCTTTGGTCTACACCTGAACCTTTGAATACGAGGCCTGGGTTAAAAATAAACATTTTCCTGGATTTTAAGGAAAGAACTTTTGGCCTAAAAATTGGCCGAAAAACGTTTAACATTCTAAATCATTTGGTATTGATTGGTTTTGAAAATGCTTATAATCCCATTTAAATTTAATTAAATTAACCAAACCAATTCTTGATTATAAATGTTTATGCCTAGGAAATACACACTTTTGAGTATATCGTACAAACTTTTGCGCATATTTTTGCATGTTTAACCCCCCCTTGTAGTTTTTTTTTCATAACTTGGCTTGAGGCTGTTGAAATTTTCTGACTTTTCCTAAATACCAATTGCCCTCCCTTTAGGTATGAAACCGGGATTTTATACTAACTGCCTGAGTCCTCAAGCACACTGTTTGAATGGCTACTTTTGAATATAACACACTAAATCTCTGTTTTGATCCACTGTTAGTTGTCAGATTTTGATAATTTTTAGATTTTTGGAAAGTCTATGACCTTTTGAAAATGGTTTCCAAACATCCTGTCAAAAGAAATTTGCACATTTTTAGTTTTTCTGAATTACACATCAGGTTGTTTAAAATTGTGCAAAATTTTTTGCATACTTGAACGGGCATAGTCAAGGGTTTTTCAAAAATGTATAAGTTAACATTTTTTGGAAACTTTTTTTTGCAAACAATTTTACTTTATAGTTGGATTTTGCAAAAAAAAAATCCAATTTTTTGCAGATTCTGAAAGTAGAGCAGACGTAATTCGTCATATTTGGACATCAAACATGGGATATTAAGGCGGGTAGGGGTCAGATTGCCCCCCCCCCCTGCCAACGTTTCCTGGTTTTCAAGTACCTCAGCAGGGATAGGGTTAAAATGGCCTGGTCAATGGGTTTTCAGAAATGCAGAAATTTTTATATTTCCAATAACTTTTGTCAAAAAAATTAGAACTTGTCATTCCTGGATATCAAACAAGGAATTTAAGGGGGGGGGGGCATGGTAAAATTCTATTTTTGCACACGTCCTGAAATGGTATTTTGGCCATAAAAATAGCTGCATTGTCTTTGCACCAAACAGGTTTAATGTTCACACTTTAGATCCTAGTGTACTTTATTTTTGCACATTTGTGCAGGGAGAAGCATAACTTAGATGCTAAACTATTGTAAACATGATTTTTTTCTGTAAATCATGGTGCTCTACAACCTTCATTTTTCTGCACATGGCAGAGAATAGATGGTATCTTTATTTGCTTATTTTTCCTGTTTCTATAACAGCTTTTATTCCTGTTTCCTAGCCTCAAATCCCTGTTTCCTCATCTCTAATTCTGTTTCTCCATCTCTTAATCCTGTTTTCTCAGCTCTGATTACTGTTTCTCCAGCTCTAATTCCTATTTCTCCAGCTCTTATTCCTGTTTTCTCAGCTCTAATTCCTGTTTCCCCAGCTCTAATTTCTTTTTCCTAAGCTCTAACTTCTGTTTCCCAAGCTCTAATTCCTGTTTCCTCTGCTTTAGTTCATGTTTTTCCAGCTCTTGTTCCTGTTCCCTGAGCTTATATTCCTGTTTCCTCAGCTTTAATTCCTGTTTTCTGAGCCCGAAATTCTCTTATCCTTCCTCCCGTCGTATCCCCGCTACTATCCGTTATATATCTCTCAACTCTCTGCTCTCTATCCCCCGTATATCCCCCCCCCCCCCCCCCCACACGGGATGGTTTAGCGCCGCCAGTATTTGAGTGGATACGGAGCAGGATGGAAGGATTTCAAACCTTATACAAACCTATGGATACTCCAAACATTACATAAAGAATATCTGAATACATCTAAGTCAATCAGTTATTTCAAAAATCAAAATTTAATTGCCCAAGTCAGTTACAGTTTACATTTCGAAAGAAAGTGAGTTAGTTTGCCAAAAATCTTGAACAGAAACAAGTGAGTCTGTAAGTTAAAAACTGAAGTTTCTCGAAGTGAGTTAAAAAGTACTAAATTAATCCAGTTCTAAAGAATGGGTGGATTATCAGTTCAGTGTCTAAGTTTAGTGATTTTGAATGTCTGCTGTGTGTTTGCTGTAAAAAATCTGGGAAGTTGGATGTAAGTTAGTTTCTTCATTATTCATCAACTAAAATAAACTAAAATCAACTAAAATCAACTTAAATCAACTAAAATAAACTAAAATAAACTAAAATAAACTAAAATAAACTAAAACCAACTAAAATCAACTAAAACCAACTAAAATAAACTAAAATCAACTAAAATCAACTAAAATCAACTAAAATAAACTAAAATAAACTAAAATAAACTAAAATCAACTAAAATCAACTAAAATCAACTAAAATCAACTAAAATCAACTAAAAGCATTGTCGAATTGAATTAGGATTTATATACAAGCATGTAAATCTAATACAGTACATTTTCTAGCAAAATACATTATCCTATTTCAGCGGTGCTTTTTATCTAACATCAGAAAGAAACTTTTATGATTTAAATCATATGATTTAAATCCAATTAATGAAATTTTCAAACCTCGTAGACTTGACTGACTCATACAGTCCAAAGGTTTTTCTTAAAACTCTATTTTATGATCTTGTTAGCACATCTTGTCATCTTGTCATCTCGTTGCGTTTTGTAAAAAAAAAGGAGGAAAAGTCTACTTAAACCCAGCCAACTAATTCAACATTGTTATATGAAAAAGGTTATGCAAGGCATAGCAAGTGAAGCTTAGGAATGTGAAAAAACGAAAATTTGGAAACAAAAAGGGTTGAAAGGACTGAAAGTGACCCTCCATGCATAGATGGCAATGTCCTTTTCACAACGGTACCCTTTAAACCCTTTTGAAATAAATAATGTGGAATAATATGGTAGTTTTTAAAGGTTTAAAAATGTTAAATTCTTATCATTCCTATACGTTTTCCTGCAGTAGAAATACGCAAGTCATTTTTGTAAAGAAACCCTAATTTAAAATAATCAGTTTTCAAAATTAATATTATTGATATCTATTTCATACTTAATCGGACAAAACTTTTGAGGGTACCGTTGTAAATCAGACATTTCCACCTTTGCATAGAGGTTTGCTTTAAATGAAATGGTTAAAATGGAAAAGAGGTGTGAACCAAAAATTTCTGAATTGGAAAAAAAATACTAATAAAAAATAATGTGAGAGAAATTATGATGGGTTAAAAAAGGATATCTATACAGTGGAATTCATAAAATTGTGGAATAGCCAAACGACATTTGACACGTCTATAGTTTTACTATAGGAAATAAACTTATTGAAGAAAATTGATCTGCAGTTTACACTTCACAATGCCTGTGATACAAGTTATTGGACTATTTGAAATCATAACTTCAGTCTAACAGTCGTCTTCCTATTCCACAGTTTTATGAGACGCGCTGAACAGTTAGAATAAATTCTCTCTACCAATAAAAAATTACCGAATCTAGACAGATCCGCCTATTGAAAATTTTCATAGGATCCTAAAATAAACTTTGATTATATCTCACAAAACTATGATAAAATTCTATAAAACTTCAATTGATTTTCATAATACTGTAATAAAATCTAATGACTCTGGTAGAATTAAAAACAGAATAATGGATTAATTTTTTCCAATTAATTTTTTAAAACAGTTTTTAAAAAGTAAGGTCAGAAAAAGTAAAAAAAAAACTATTAAGCTTTAAATTCCTAAAGAAGTGATGATATCACTCTAGGAGAAGTGGAATCTAGAAGTTTAGGTTTAGTTTGTTTGCATAAGACAGGTTACATTTATACTTTCAAACTTAGTCTTTCATCTTTAATGTTTGCTATTGAGATCTATACAACTCTCTATCTTTATATCTATCTATCAATCCATCTGTCTATTTATCTATCTATAGTGTATATGTATGTCTGTACCTGTATTTGCCAATTACTTGTTTATTGAAAGATATACAATTACACCCCCTGGACCCTCTCTGGTCACTTTTCAACACAACTCAAAAATAATTGAAAAACATTTTATAAAATTTTAACGTAGAGTTCAATCATTTTTTTCCCTACGTAGATATTTTCTGCAAAAAAGTAGAAAATATTTGTGTTTATTGACATCAGTTTTAAAACTCGTTTATTTGTTAAATGTTTGCTTAAAAGGTTGTCATCAGGAAATGTTTAGGACCAGAAACCAGATTTAATGAATAATTAAAAGTAGTCTAACCTCGTAGACGTAGTTGAACCAGTTCTATTCAACTAGAGCTGACTCAAAAGAAAAGTGGTTCAACTACTTCCACGCGCTTCAACGCTTTTAATTAAATCTGGTCCATGCTAACCTAAAGATCAATCATTAAAAATATATGATGCTTTTCGTTTTTAAGTTTTTAAGGGACTGCCTTAGTAATTTAAAGTCACCCATTAATTATAATTTGTTTTACTGTCTGAAATAACTTGAATGGTCAAATTCATTAATTTATAGATTCATTGAAAACTTGTAATTATAAATTTATAATTATGTTTTATATTTATACTTTACAATATTTGTTTTAGCTTATAATTATAAATTTATAGTTATGTTTTATGTTTAAACTTTACAATTCTTGCAGTGTTCATCATTAATCTAAAGTATTTTTCTGTCAAATGTAAAATGTCAAGTGCAATTGCAGAAAAATGAAAATTCAACTTTATGCAAAAAAAAATACAGTTCTGCACTTTTAATTCACTTATTCCAATTTCTTAAAAGTTTAAAGAAGAGTCGTATAACAGACTTTATTCATAATTACCTGTATTACAACTGTGTTATCTGTCCTGTTGTTAACAACCTCCACTAGTATCACTGTGTTATCTGTCCTGTTATTAACAACCTCCACTAGTATCACTGTGTTATCTGTCCTGTTATTAACAACCTCCACTTGTTATCTGTCCTGTTATTAACAACCTCTACTAGCATCACTGTGTTATCTATCCTGTTATAACAACCTCCACTAGTATCACTGTGTTATCTGTCCTGTTATTAACAACCTCCACTAGTATCACTGTGTTATCTCTCCTGTTCTTAACAAATACCACTAACACCACTGTGTTATCTGTCTTGTTATTAACATCTACCACTCGTACCACTGTGTTATCTATCTATCCTGTTATTAAGAAGTACCAATAGTACAGTGTTATCTGTTCTCTTATTAACATCTACCACTAGGCCACTGTGCAATTCTTTATCTTTAAAGCTTTGATTATCGTGTGCAGGCAAAAAATGCTCAATTGCTTTATTTATCTTCTCATTAATTCATATTTAACTGTGCTTTAATCTATCTATCTCGTTTCTTTGAGTTATATTTTATTTAAACTAATTTTACTCATAGTTATGTAGGCTTTTAATATTTGTAACTGCTCATTTTCATATTTTTACTAAAAGGAAAGATATTCCGAACTAGGGTGTCCAAAAAAGGGTGATTAGTTTATTTTCCGCTTTTCGTCAAACCCTCTTATAGCACTTTTTTGGTACACCATGTAAATTCATGAAATATTTGTTTTGAGGGTGGGACTACCTACGTTTTTTTTTAAAGAGTGTCTTCCGTAATTTGGTAATGATTATAATCCCTTTATACTCTTTTCTCAGAATTAAATGTAAAATAATATTTTTATTATAATATTACAAACATTCATGCTAATCAGCAAATTGTGGAATTCTACAACAAAGAATAAAGATTCTGTCTGTATTTTATCAGATTTCCTGGGACATTTCTATAAAGGGTCAAATGAAAAAAGCTATAATTCCAAGCCTAAATTTTATATCTGGTCGACAACGAAGGACTTATTTTTTATTTTTTGGCTGCATTCTTACCTAAAATTGATTTTCCCTAATATTTGTGTTTCCTTTTGATGATTCATCTACTCTCTTCTAGATTTCTGGTCCCCCTCTCTTTGAACATTTCAACTCCAGTCAAAATTTGTCAAGATAAACTTGTGTTGAACTATACTATTGAGCCAGTCATCACGGTCGGCCCTATCAGATATAGAGATAGATATAGAGATAGGATTAAAATCTTTATAGAACAATATTATATACTTCATATATTTCATTCTATACATGTTGTTCCAAATATAAAGAGGGTTCTAAATAAGAATTAATATTAAATTATGAAATATTCAAACAAATAAGGTAAATTGCAGAGACAAATTTACCCTTGCAACTCTTTAACTGGGGGTGGGGGGGGAGGGTAGAAGTTACCTAGATATACCCATAAATCTGTAAGGAACTATCAAATCTAAATCCAATTGTGACAATTAGAAAAAACAGTAATCAAGGAAATTGTCTCTTACCTATGTAGTAAATGCCTAAAGATAAGTTTCTTAAGTAAGTATCAATCTGGATACAAGCTCCTTATCCGTCAATCCAGATACAACCTCTAGAACACCGTGGTCTACAATACACTATAGTATCAGTAGAAGTAAATATTTCCATTTACTGATAGAAGGATTCATAACTCTTATTGTATAATGAGATACATAGAAAGATAGATGTTACCACCATACTATTTCTATTGGTTCAGAATAGACATCAAACACATGACTGAACCCTGATTGGATCAGGCGCTAATGAACTCGGCATACAGGAGTGAATAATAAACTTATTTGTATCGCCTAGGTACAAACTGTTCTCGAACTCTCTCGTTCCTTCAATATACTCGGTTGGTATCATTCCAGATACAACCTCTGTAGAACTTTCAAGATACAGCTTGTGCTGACTCTCAGCTATACTTAGTCTATATCAATCAAGATATGACGCTGTTGTATTCTTTAGGTATCTCTCTTTCAAGATACAGTTTGTGCTGGCTATCAGCTATACTCAGTATGTATCAATCCGGATACAATACTCTCTGTATCTTCCTAGTCTATATCTTTTAATACCAATACAGCTCAGGTCCGTCTTGTTTGCTACACGAGAATTCTGTAATCAAGCAGAGTATTTTTCCAACAAACGTTTGTTTTTAGTTCTATATTACAGCCTTACAGGCTAGATTCATGAACGTTTTACGTAGTTATTTACAAGCATTGTTAGGTTACAAATAATGTATAACGTAATATATCTGTGTTAAGGTTTATAAATATGGGGTTTACTAC